TAGGGGGCAAAATAGGAATTAACAATGAATCGGAAATATGACCCAGAAAGGACAATGCCAGAGTACCAGATAGGTCTGTTAATGGAAAAGATGTTTCGTTCAATATTCAGGCCAGATAGAATCTAAGGTTAGTTAAGGACCCCAGAAGTCTTCAGGAATACCGGGAGTATACCGCATTCCTTGAAGCTTTGGACCGATCTACATTGGAACCACGAAAAGAAACGCAAGTTTTCATCTCTCCAAACACGAGTCAAATTGTCACCTGGGACATCTACAAATCAGCAGTAGAGGAACATGTACTCATCGAAGGTACCCACGTTATTGCGTTTGAAGAGACCCATGTGTTCGGCAGAACTGAGTTATTATCCAAGACTATATAGGAATGTAGTAGGTACTAATCTGTGTACTAAATTACACTCGTATTGAACCGTTTAATTGAACCAATAGAAAGGGAGTCACGCCCACCAACAATGAAATTTATCAAAACCTTGAAAGATGAAGCATCTGCTGTAAGGACAACCAGAGCTTTCTGTATACCGTAGTCGTAAAAGAACCGTAAGACATTAAAACCTGCAGACCAGTTATCTCTGGCCGAGAAAGTTTTCTATCTTAAAAAAATTCCACTTTAACGCCTTGATTCTTTTCTGTGAGGTTTCATGAAGAATGAAATTCATAATGAATTATCATTGGTGTTAGGATACAGTGCATATCTTCGTTCTATGTATTTGTACTTTTATGTTCTGTTGTTTCGTTCTAAGAAGATTTTATTAAGTTAGGTTAGTGATATTGCAGTGTGGTTCTTAGTGTTACTTTAGTAATGCAATGTAACTTTATTTTGCTAATATTTTGAGAAACTTTCAACTGATAGTTTCCGCACCAGAACTGACAATAAGCATATCAATAAAAAATTGTTTCGAGTAGGAACAACAAACACTAAGATGATGAAAATGTAATGATGGTGCTTTTGAAATTGGAAGAAATATAACAGAAAAAAAAATTAAAATACAAGATAAAAAAATAAACATCTTGTCAAATCTAGGAAGAGACTTGAGAATTCTCTCTCTCATTTATTATTGATTTATAATTTCATGATTTCTAATAAAAATAATATCATTGTATTATCAAAAGAAATATGAACATTGAAAAGGAAAGAATGAAAATAATAAAATATATTTTTTTATATCATTATCGAATTTGGTTAAGGAAGTAGTTGATTCAATTTTGGTAGGTAAATTATTGTAAATGGTTATCCCAAGATAGTTGTGAAATTGGTGGTAGTGCGCCCGACTCACGATCGGAAGATCGTGGGTTCGATTCCCGCCTCGACCAGATATTTTTCTCAAGTGAATTCATCTGCTTGAAGCGGGGATGATTCTGCAACCGTGCTAGGAATCACACGTTAAAAGGTAAGACCTCGTTAGTCCTTAGCTCGCACAAGTTTCTCAACTTCTGAGGGTTGTCGTTCGTATGGGGGCGACAGCTGATTAACGGATAAACAGATTTTAAACAGTTTAAAAACGTTCTGTCAAATTAAATTTCAATATTGAAATTATTGGATTGCCTACTATAATGCTTATGAGTATCTGAACTGAATAAAATATTGGAATGTTTCTTCATATGTTTTCTCAAGTCAACGAGTATATAATTTTGAAGTAATCAAAATCAATCAAAAAAGTAATATGAAAATACATTTCATTGCTTTATTTTGACACTTAAAGGGTGCAAAATATATTTTTTCTCATAGAATTCATATAGAATTCCAATTACCAAAGATTTTTTTCCTGGTGTTTTGAACGTGTTGGGACCATGTGATAGATTGATGTGATAGCCTGCTCCACAGGAATACATCCACAATTACCGTCATTTTTTTAATACCCAACTCTATTGTCGAAAACATAAAAAGTCACAGTAAAACTAGAAGCTAATATTTCGATACATTTTTTAGACCTAACAATTTCAAAAATCAACAACAAACATAATTTGCAATTTACCACAAACCAGCTCATACTGACACA